ATTCTGTGAGTGGAGTGGTGGGAATGAGTGTGTTTGAGACGGCGAGGTTGGCACAGGATAGAACAGCTTTTAGGGCTCTTGTACATAGGGTCACTATGAGTTGCAAGCAACTTGATGGCACATAACAACAACAACAAGAACAATATGCAATCCACTGTGCCACCAGTGAACAAATCAGAACACAATTCTTTGTCTCATGGAATTCTCCAAAAGAGGGAAGACATTTCACTATACTACAAAGGGAAAATACCAATAGGTAAGAAAAGATAAAGAGAGCGATCTGATTTTGATGAGATCAGGAACTCTCGTTATAGATTAGCACTTTAAAGGAATAACGAGGAAACTGAATTGAGAGAAGACTTATTCATGGTTATAAGGAAAATTGACATCTATCCACTCATCCATCTTTTCAGATTGTTTTCACCCAGTTCTCTCAACAGCCTGCAGAGGAAGGTGGTAGCACTGAGACGGGGAAGGAAAGATCGATTTTGCTGACCAAGTACTCCCAAAATGATCGAGGTGTTGAGTGATCGCTATGTGCTTAAGGGAGACAGAAGAAAAACTGATGTCTTTGAAATTATGGTGTTGGTAAAATCCAAATTCATTGTCATTGAGTCAGAACTGACTCATAGCTGATCTTCCAGGGATTTTTTTCAAAGGCTTTAAATGGCACACGATGTGATATTGGTAAAGAATATTGAATATAAATACCATGGGTTGCCAAAGAAGATGAAACAAATCTGTCTTGGAGTAAGTGGAGCCACAGCACTTCTTAGAAGGGTGGATGAGAATTTGTCCTACACACTTTGAGCATGTTATCAGATGAGGACCGTCCCTACAAAAGAACATCTTGTTGGAAAAGAGGAGAGAGAGAGAGAGAGAGAGATATGGATTGACACAGTGCCTGCAGCAAGGGGCTAACTGACAGCAGAGATTGTGAGAAGGGTTTAGGATCTGTCAAAGTTCATTTCTGGTCACTTGGAGCAGACTGGATTGCACATAACAAGGCAGCCCTGATTTAATTGGTAGGAACTGACGAGCGGAAAGACTACTGTATAGGACTTTGGCTAAGTCGTTTTCTTTTTCAGTTGGCCTATGCCAAATGTTTAGTTTACTTGGCTCCACAATCAGCACTCTTGGTAACAGCAGCCAGGAACTCAAGAGACGAATTGCATTGGGAAAGTCAGCTGTGAGGGGACCTCTCAAGAGTACGGAAGAGCAATGACATCAGGCTGGAGACTAAGGTGCGCCCGATCCAGGCTATAGTCTTTGCAATTACGTGCTATGTGTCAGAGAGTTGGA